TTTTCTTGCCAAAACCAGATTCTTCACAGCTTTGTGTTGTAGGACTAGGAAGAAGACCTCTAGATGATCCTTCTTGTTCTAACTCATTGTGACTTGGATTACTCTCACCCTCATTAGTAGTAGACATACCTTAAGTTTTGCGAGAATCTGAGCAAATAAATTATACAATTTAGTGCAACAATCATTTAGCAATAAAATTGAAATAAAAGACTAGATGAAATTGAAGAACCAACTCAGGACAACATTCAATGAACGCTGAGAAAATCAACTAGAGACACAATGAGTGCTGTCTGGGAATGTTTTTACTAAGACCACAAAGTCCCACGCACAAACAAAAGCATTAGTAATTAATCTAACATCGAAATTCCAATTATATGATAAAGCTGCATAATTACAAGGTCACTCCCATACAAGCAACAGTATGCTCTTGACTCCTAGTCATTTAAGTGGGCATCAATCATCTTCATCCTAAGCAGCATTGCAATCGTAAGCAGTAACATCAGTTGCTACTGGTAAATTTGAAGCTTAATGATAGCCTAGAATAATGTTTACTTTTCTCCTTTCAGATAATCGAAGACAATGGGTATTGGAGTATGTATTCTAGTGGCCAGATAATTGGCACATGTGATAATCTGTACAAAAGACTTCCCACTAATGCCATGACAAAACAGAGGCCAAAACCTCAAAAAAAATATATGGAACAGATCTAAAGCTTTAAATGAAGAAATGAACCAATTTCGACATTGACTTGAGTTCAACAGTCTATCCATTTTGGCAATTCACACGAATAAAACGTCCACGGTCACTTAATACCAGGCAATGTTTCCATTAACAATAATACCTGACAGGACAAAAAATCCAGGAATCAACATTAGATGATTTGTAAATGCAAAGATTAAGAAGAAGAGAGGGAGAACCGGCTCAAGTTTGCTGCACTAGAAGAAGAATGAAACTGATCCAAGTTTGCTCAAGTTTGTACCGGCTCAACTACTCTTATCCAATTCAAAAACTCATAACTTTTATCAAGATTCAATCAGGAAGGAAATTGAGCATCAAACATCATACAAGTTCCACTGAAATTAAATTAGCCCATATAAAAAAACTAGCAAATTAAACAACGACATCCAGAATCAAATACCAAAAGAAAAAAAAAACACCAAATGAAAATCCAATTATTGAGTCTTTTTCATAAACCCATTTACCTGATAGGCTTATCCAAGGCTTCACTGGAATCAGCACTAGCGAACTGTGGTCCTGGACCTCCTGGTGATAGTGGATGCTCCGCTCGGTCAGCAATGGTGAAACCTCGGTCAGAATGGGAAACGGAGAAAGAGTGGACTGAGCAGAGGAGAGGAAAGGACAGAGGACTGACTGAGGAGAGGACTGAGCAGAATGAGGAGAGGAGAAGAAACGAGAGAAAGAGGGGAACTGAGGAAGATGGGACTGCGCCGCGGGCCGCGGCAGTGCAGAGGAGCGAGAGGAAGAGGGGACGAAGAGCGGAATTAGGGCACCACGTCTGAAAATCTGAAATTGGACCAATATGAATATCGGACATAATGAACTATTTCCTATGTAACTTAATTCGGGAATTTCGAAATTGAAAACGGTATATTATTACCGCTTTACCGAAATGAATTCGAATTCGGTATATCCGAATTCAAAAACTATAAAATCGTTTTCGAACCTAATTCGATTTCAACTTGTACTATATCCCCGATTTACCGACCGAATTACCGAATTACCAAATTCGATTTACCAAATTGAAATCGATTTCGGTCGGTAAATCGGTATTTACCGTAATTGCTCACCCCTAAGTGCAAGTCCAGTTTGGGTAGTGTATTATTGGAACTCTACTCGAGTTAAAAAAAAATTGGACTTGAACTCGAGATCGAACTCGAACTTGTCGAGCTCTTGAAAGTCGAGTTTGAACTTGTGCTTATCAAGTTCAATCAATTTGCTTAATCGAGCCTAATCAAGTCTAATTGAGTTTAATTAAATTCGACAAACTTTTGAGTTTACATGTTAAGTATGAACTCGACTGATCAAGTAACTCAAACTGTTTGAACTCGAGCTTTGACCAAACAAACTCGCGAACTACTCAGATTAAACTCAACTCATTTGCACTCCAATTTAGGATGATATTAACTCAAACTTTAGAATAAAAAATAGAAAGACATGCAGTTGTTCTATTGCTAACAAAGAATGAATTAGTGAAAATAAAAGGTTATAAATTACCATACATAAAATGACACGGTAGCAATATTGGTTATGGTGAGGGATACAGGTTTTTCACATGGGTCATGACTTATCCAGATAATATCAAAGACGATACGTGGTTTTTCATGTATTGTGCTTAAAAGATACAAAACAAATATAAAAAAGACTAAAAAAAAAACATATATGATCAACTCAATTAGCTAATAATATAGACCAAATACATCAATTTGGCAGGCTAAATGTTGTCTAAATAATATATTCTGGCACTTCATCTTACAAAATTTTTTGTACTTTGAAATGTATAACAAACTTATTCATCATCTTTTTAAAACGAGAAAAATATCAACTTAGTCCCTAAACAATTTTGCTAAAGTCAAAGTAGTCCTAAATTTTAAAATGAGTTAATTTAGTCCCTCAACTATTTTTACAAAGCCAATGTAGTCATTAACTTTTATTATAAGTCAATTTAGTCCCTTAACTATTTTACTTAAGCTGAAATAGTCCCTCACCTATATTTATATGGGTGAAAAACAGCAACGAAATTGAATTTTATAGAAAGCAAAAAAAATAATTTTCTTTCTTTTTATTTTATTTTATTTTATTTTGGTGTTTGAGAGAGGACTTGAACCTAGGACATCTTAACTTCGCACTTATTTTTTTGCACAATCTTGTTATGTTATTTTCCCCCCTTTTCCATTTAATGGATTGATTTGGATCCCTATGAAATTTTTTAAAGCATCAGCTCCATTTTTTTTGCCATAAGAAGCTTTAATTTGTTTTTTTTTCTATATATGATTCAATTTTGTTGTCGATATTCTCACAAATATATGTTTTTCTATTGTTTTAATAAGGGCAATGATTGAATTTTCTATTTTGGCCCCCAATTATGAGTGCAAAAAGTTAAATAAATTGGGTGGATGAGTCAAATAAGGACAAAACTACCCATGTAAGCATGGGTTTGGGACTATTTCAGCTTAAGCGTAATAGTTGAAAGACTAAGTTGGCTCATAGTAAAGTTTAAGGACTATTTTGGCTTTGTAAAAATAGTTAAGGGATTAAATTAGGTCATAACAAAGTTTAGGGACTATGTTGGTTTTAGTAAAATAGTTTAGGGACTAAATTGGTGCTTTGCTCTTTTAAAACATTTTAGAAGTTGACAACTATATTACCTTAAATAGATATTAAATGCATCATATATTTGATTTCTTCTACAAGTAATGGATTTTTTTTTTAAAAAAAGAAATTAGAATAGGATTATTTAGCACAGTATATATCATACTATTATTATATTCAACACATAGTAATAATTAAGGATAGCAATTTTGTAAATACAGTGAATAAATGGCCTAAACTTAAATCAGGTCTTCTTCTCTTCATAGAAAAGGTGTAAAAGATATACACGCAAAATTATTATTAACACCATCACTTATCGATCAAAGGAAACATTATTAGGAAAAGAGAATCAATTGATGGTCATTTGTATGAAAATTAGTGAAGAATATTGGATGCGTATATGACGAATGTTTCATAACGATAACCACCATTCCAATTACAACTCTGATTTTTTTTTTTTTTGGTAAATGAAAAGTTTTGAACCCAAAACCTCCTATTTACAATGTCTTCATCACCCACACCCAATCTCCCCCCTCCCCCTCCCCCCAACACAACAATTTACATTGACACGGCCGATTTGAACCCAAAACCTTCTATTTACGATGTCTTCAACTTTACCACCCACAACCAATCTCCTGCCCCCCCAAACAAAAACAATTAACTTTGACGCAGCCAATTGATAAAGTCCTAGAAAGAGAAAATAAAAACAAAAAAAGGAAAACTAAATATTGAAGTGACGAATTAGAGCACTATCCTAACTGATTTCAGGTAATCCTACTTAATGGAGCACGATTTGTATCTACTATACCCTAACACACTTTCAATCTTCACGACTCTCTTTCTTTTGATGTAATTTTATTCACAAAAGTTTCCTTTGAAACCATTAAGAAGTCATGACTAACTTTAATTCTCTATGGCCACAATAGGGCATACCTATTACTGAAGTTGCCATAGCGGCACTAATTTGGTAACAAATTATTTTGAACGAAGTCAAATTTTATTGCAATTTTGGACATGATTTTATTGTTGAATGGCATTCGTATTTAAGACGCGACTTTATAATTGTTTAAGATGTGACTTACAATTGAATGAATGATAATCATATTTAAAGCTATTTTCCTCGCGATTTTAGCATTAACTTTCTTTGGAAGTTTGTTGTCCAGCCGTAGCAATTTTGAACTTGCTAAAGTCCGGTAAGCTAGTAGCACAGGCTTGCTCATTCAGGCTCTAAGCAAGTGTTTGAGAAATCAGTTGTGTGCGAAATTGAACTAATATCTGAAGGGTGAGACTAATATATATAATAGAGAGCAAACATACGAGTGATGCTCAAATTAGTTTCGTCTTGGAACAGAGATGTCCTTTATGTGTGTTTAATTTGTAAACATTGTTTATTATAGTTGATCCACATTCAGTAGAATAAAATTGTTTGTTTACCAATTTTATCAGTGGATTTAATCAAATATTTTGGTATCAGAGCCGACCACAATGTAGCAAAAGCATCAAAAGAAGCTTTGATAAATGCATGCAACATAGGAAACAGACAAACTGAAAGAATAAGCAAACATTATAGAAGAGAACTCGAAAAGAAAAACACAAATTGCTAATGAATTTAGAAGCCAACTCTATACAGGAGACCAGTACAGAATGTAGATGACTTCACACTACACGGTATGGCTTCAATGTGACACAATTCAAGTTGGAGGTACAATCGAAAATACAATTACAATTCATTTTCTTTCTATCTTTGTAGTAATTTATTGAGGTGGCTCCAATAAACTGGAGAAGTTTCTTCAGAAGTTATAGGGAGGGTGGAAGAGCACCACTTGTGTGAAATGCCGGTCAAACAATAGTTACCAGCAAAACAACGATTGGTTGGGAAGAAGAAAATAAAAAGAGATGAAGCAATAACTTTTTACCGTTACAACTGGATGACTTCTCAGCAACCCTAGAGGGAAGAAGTCTCTGAACATTGCATAGCAATTACAGGCACAGCTCCAAAAGTAGGCTTAGCATTTGTTCAGAGAGCCTACCCCTTCATCGTATGTTGAACTAAATCTTTACATCTCCAGCTGTAGTCGTGGGATAAGTGCAATATCCCTCTGAAGATCAACAGGCGTACAGCTCTCTGAGCAGGATGACATGTTGCACAAATGTTTTTGTATGATGGAATACGCTGTGATAAGAACACATTTTACTTCACGACTGGAGCAGTTACTTTGCACACTTCAACGTTGAAGCCGCAGTCCATAAGAAACAGCAGCCATGCACGCTGCTGTTCGGAAAGTCTGTCCCTTGGGCCTTTTACTTCAACAAGCTTTGCTTCACCTTTATAATTGTCGTGAAAACGCCAAAGCAAGAGATCAGGCATTCCACTCGACCAGCTCCGATAATCTTGAGCCAAATGCCTGCAAATTGATGCAAGACAAGGACCCCCAATGCATGTGACAGCAGCACGAAGCTCAGCCAAGGAATGCTTTTCCCAGTTCACTCCCCTGCAGGCTGTTCCTGCATGTAACTCCCATGACGTGATAAGAATTTCTTCTGCCATGCCATCATTAATCTTTCCCAGAAGTCCCTCTATAAGGCTCTTTCTGGCTGCATAAAAGCTATCTGTCTCCAGATCTAAGGGAGCTGTCTGCAGAATGAAAAAATTACATGTCTCAACACACAAATAGGGTATTATGATAGAAAAGACAGAAATCCTTATAAAATAAAAGCATAACAGAAACAAGCGAGCGAAAGGTAGTAGAATTTATAAATGAAATGAAAACAAAAAAGACAGTACCCGATCTAGCTAAAATTTTAATAATAGAGGTTCTCATTTATAGCAAATTTAATTGCATATTACCCAAATGGGAATTCAACAGCACACAAACATTTGTAAGGTGTAATGCTTTTCATTTGTACCACCTCGTGTTTTAATTCAAATGTCTTAATGAACAATCTATCCATGATCATTTGAAAATCATTTCCTATATAGTTACTCTATATGGTGAAGATGACAGGTAATGCAACCTTATATAAGAGCGTACAATATACAGTCAATTAGTTAAGGCTCTCCATTCTTGTCACAGGTTCAACTCTTACCATCGCTTTCCTACTTCCCATCCAAATTACCTTCCATTTCAGCAACAAATATTAGGAGGAAAACAAAAAATCTGCTGCTAACTCAACAGAGTGTCCTTAGTGATGTCTGTAGCTGTAATTGATTTGGCAGAATACTCCCAAACCAAATCAGCAACAGAGATTAAGGCCATTTTAGACAAGGATATTCAATTTAAGGTTGAAGAAGTACTAACCTCATTTTGAATCCATTGAATAAGAGACAGGTTAAATAGCTTCACACAAATGAAACAACGAAACACATAGTGAAGATTGGAAGATTGGTCTTCCATATGACTGAATCCTATATCAGTTTTAACTCAGCATTTTTATCCGGGTGTTATCAATGTATTTGCCCATTGCCACTTGGATCAATTAGCTAAAACAAGCACATTTAAACTCTGCATTTTCAAAGAATAATCCTTTTTCTGCCAGGAAGAAACAGTAATACAGGAGCTCCCATTTTCAATGCCACCAGAGAAACTTGTTCTAAATAATCTGGTGTCAGAATAATTTAACATTGCCTCATTGACAGATACCTAAACAGTGTTAAGAACCCACATAAAAGCAGTAAACGCACAATATCTCTTACTCGCACAGAGCATGTCATAATTTCGGGGTTTAAAAGAATCATAACAGTCCCTCAAGCTTCAATAGTATAAACTCAAAGATTTGCCCCTGTGAACTGCAAGGAAAATTTAGCTCACCTTAGACCAAGTGCAACTAACAAGATGTATTCCATTCTAAACCAATAGCAATTTACTACAACTTTCAGCTCTTTTACTGAATCACTAGCCATTTAAATAATAAAAGATAATTGCTGTTATTGGCCAAAAATCACTTCAAGAAACCCAATGTTTTCACTCCGGCATGTAACCTACTTTGAACATATGTAATCAGCACCAAAAAAGAGGTATACTGTCCTGAACCTGGAAAGTTGAGAAATTGAATAATCACAAAGAGTACCTGAAACTTGGTGCAAAAGGCATTTGGCACATCAGCAAACATAATATCCCACATCAAAAGCCCAAAAATAGTCAACCAAATGCCACTCTCTGTATGGACACCATCCATGCACCTCCTTCTCCAGCGTAATACTGCAAAGCAAGTTCTTCCACTCCACATTGCTCTCCATCTTCACCATAAAATATACTCCTCATTCCTGTCTTACTGTTTAATGGTCTACCTTGAATATGAACCTAATCACATTAACCCAACTAAAACTATCTCAATAAACAGTTACATGTAATCAGAGACCCTTTGAGATAATTAAAGGCATGATCCTGAATTAGAATACATTTGCAGTCTTGTAGCTTAAATCAGTTAAAGCTGGTTATCTAAAGGATTACCTCAGTTATCTTCCTTTTAACAGATTGTGAATAACTAGGAGTTCTCCAGCGCCTAGGTGGCCTTCCCAGTCGTAGAACCCGCCTTTGTAAGGCCAATCTTGAACCAGCACGAACCCAGGGATCAAGTAACCCATCCTCAGCAACTTGAAGACTCTCATTTATACGTCCCACATGTTCCAGGTCAACTGATAGCCTCAGTGTCCAGTATCCCCTTCTTCTGTCAGAAATGAAATTAACCAGAAGGCGCTTTAGTAGCTTGATAGCTTCAATATACCTGAAACAAAGAAAGATAATCAGACATATTCACCAAAAAGAAGAAACATCCAGATTGACAGTATCAAGCAAATAACTCCCTAAGCAATAACAAAGGACCAAATTTCACAAAAACCGATAATGATGGATGCTACAGAACACCCATGAGCAAGAGCTTGATAATAAATTCACAATACCATGATACTCTCTCAGATATGATAAAACTTATCCAGAATCAATTTCCTTCAACAAAACAAAATTGATATATTAAACCCAATCATCTTTCTTTCTTTTATTTTCAATTTAACAGAAACCCATTTAACATAGTCACCATTGCAGAGGCATTCCATAGAATAGTAGATCAGATATAGTGTATCACATACTACATGTCCTTCAACCATAGATTCAAAATGGTAAGACAGGTCCAAGAAGATAATAAGCCAGGTTCCATTAGTACACTACTATCACAGATGGTAGGAACCCTGTTATCTGATTAAGTTTACATTGAACATGTTTAGAGGAGCAATGCATAGGTCATATCACTACCACTGTGTTCATTTGTATCATATAGGCCACTGAAAAGATGGGATTACATCTGTAAACTGGTCTTGTTGCGCTAAAGCTCTTACAAATGCATAGACATATAAATAAGTTACACTAACAAAAGTACATGAAAAACCAACATGTTAATCTTTGTGACAAATGAAATTCGTTACCATCACTAGCTATTAGAGACTAAAGTGTGCATAAATTATTAGCAAATCCCCTGATTACAATAATATTATGCTTCTTGGTCACATGCGGTAGGGCCAAGCTCTAACTAGATATCATCTTGCTTTCAACATTTCAAGCTCGGTCACATGAGCTCTTTACCATGCAGAGCATTAGATGACGTTGGGCTTCTCGGATATGGTTGATTGCCCCTAATTCGGGCCAGCTAGTCACAGCAATGTTACTTGAGGCTTTCCACATTTGAAGAAGTAAGAAGATCTCCAAATACCACCAATAACAAAAAAATGCTAGACTAGCACCGGATATTTTCTGGTAAAGTACTCAAACTAGTCCAAACAGGGAATTAACCATTCCTGGCATTCTTAAACAACTACGATCACACAATCATGGCTTTTATAGCATTACATTCTCTCCACCACTATTTAAAGCTGCTTGTTTCAACGTTCTTCACCATCCCTTGCTCTGACTGTGTAACAAACTGTCAATATAAGTCATTTACCCATCCCAAATTTCAACAGCTGCTGATCTTTAAAAGTAACATGCATGAAACACAAGCTTCTGATATTTGTTTCTTGTTAAAACCAAACATTGAAACCCCAATCATTTGGCTAACATTAAGGATCAAAGGACTTAAGAAGCTTTGAGATCTCTATTACATGACATGATTTCTCATCAGTGACCTTACTAGCTTTTGAGATTACGTTCCCATATAGTTCCATTTACTGGTGCGGTTCAACAATCTTGGTAAACTTGGTTTGGAACACATGATACTAGGTCAAGCAACCAAACCTCTTAGCCAAGCTACTTATTCTTAAATCTTAACCAACCACCGAGGGATGGTCTTTGCCCTTTCCCTAGTACACGAGTTGTTTGATACGAGGAAGTCATACTCTCAGCTGTTTACTGAATTACAATGTCTCATCTCAAGTACAACAACAGACTATCCAAACACAACAGTATGAAGCATAAGGAGGCAATTTCTCTGCAGTGTGTTGTAACCAAAGTTCAATGGATAGCTTGTATTCCCCTTTCGAAGTTGCTGCTTTCCAGAAGCAGTACAACAAAATCTTTGACTCGATAAAGATAATTTACTAAACAATCTTGATTGTAGAAAGGAAAAAAAAAGTGAGACAACAATGAAAGTGCTGTTCTCAGTTGCTAGTTTCTCTCTGCTGGCAATATTGACAAGAGCCACAAAAACATAGAAGCCTCAGAAAAATAGAACGCAAAATGACTAGTTGATCACATAGTAAATGTATACTAACTAGAATCTTCGTACCTCAGCTCACGCTCAAGGAATGAAACACCTAACAAGACCACCTTAGAGTAGACCCATGAAGCTGAAAAACATGACAAAAATGTATCTATTGATCCAGCAGTTGATGATTGGACTGCTTGTACAGGATTGAAGATGCGGTGGTCAGAAACCTCTATGCACCTTGAAACCAACTCAGAATTATTTAAATCCAGAGATTCATCCATAATTTGTGCAACCTCAATTGCCTAGAGAGCAGATTTGTATGCATATTAAAGATTAAACAAAGAAGCATAAAGGGAAAAAAATGGATTTAAGTGGTAAAGCATACCTCCTCATAAGAAAGCAGTTCGTTTCTATGTCTAAAAATATGGTCTGACAATATACAGTTGTAAGTTGGATACTTAATAATTCCTAAATCAACAAGTAAAAATGACGATAAGTCCTGCTCCCCATTCAAGAAGAATAGCCGCTGCAAAAAGCAAAAGATCAAAATGACCATTATAGAGGAAGATCCAATAAGTATTAGTATATCAGAATTCAGGAAGTACCTCAGCTCGCCAAATAAGAGACTCAGCTGATGCAGTTACTCGAACACAGACTGCAGTTTTTAGTAAAATCAAACTCAGGAGGTTGGAGCTGCATGAACAACAGATGGAGGTAAGGTACATGAGATCTCAAGCCAAACTATGCATTTTTACAAACTCCAAGAAAACACTCATCATACCAGATATTGTCCTTGTATGAAGATAGAAGTGAACTAATCAAATCTTGTTTTTTCATAACAGGAGTGCACTTTTTATGTCTCTTCCAATACGTCCGCGTAAAATTCTGCGACCCATCAACACAAATAAAAGGTCAAAAGCTAAAATTTCAAGTGTGCACAGATACAAATCAGAAGTGACAACTCCTACTAGTCAAGAGCATGTAGTTTGACAAGATAAAATTCAAAAAGGCAAAAGATATGCAATCAAAAAATGTTTTACTTTGTAATCAAGACATGCAAGCCACTGTCATCAGCATGATCGATGAAAGGCAACTCCTAATCAGCATGAAAGACTTAAAGGTCCTAAGCTTGATGATTTTGACAAGGAGCGCACCATATTCTGTTTGTTTTGTTAAGTGAAAGTTTGGAGTGCTAATTCATCTTAAAGGCTGATATTGGAATTTGTGGTGTTAGGTAGCACAATGCTCCAAAAAAGTAGCAATTCCTATCTTGTAAACAAATCATAGTTATGAATTATACATTATGCTAATATGTTTGAGGAAATGTAAACGGATACTGTACCAATGTCAAGTTAGAAATTGGCATGACTAGAAGAGTACAGATAATTTATTGGTTGAACCAAAAGAGTAATATTCACTTAAACAAATGCACTATTTTGACCATTCACCTGTAAGAAAGTATGGAACGAAAGCTGCTTTTACAGACCCAACTGTAATGATTATGTAAGGCATTTCTGCATTTATCTTTAGCGCCAATATGAAACATTCAAATTTGCTGGAATCAAAGTAATCACAAAGGAGTTGGAAGGGAATTACTATTACAAATCGCCAGTAGGCAAGAAATATCATGTAGGAGATGGGAAAGAAAAAAAAAAGAAAAAGCCATCAGGTTGCAACACATTTATGAACTAACAACAAATGTACTGTTGATATGACACTAGGTGGGACAGCATTTCCATCCGCAAGAATTTCACTGGGTATTGCAGGAAGAAAAGGTAATGGAGTGAAAAATCATATCTTAATTAGAAAGGCAAAGAGAGATAGGAATCAGACACATTTTAAACATCAGACTAACTGCAACCTCAAATCCATTTTAAGGCTAAGGCGTTAAGACAACAATCAGATCAGAAGATTAAGACCAATTTAGAAGAACTTTTAAGGAAGCAAAAGCAAGAGAGAAATTTTCAATTGAATATTCTATTGATCACAAGATATTTAACTTGTGTGCAAGTGCAGAAGTGTTTTCTAAAAAACAGATACCAGAAAATGCTTCTAAGAACAGATTGACATAGGAAATGTAACATTCAAAAGACTGAGGTTATGAGACAACTGATGCAGAGGTGACTTTGACAGCGTTTGGACGATTATCATAATTAAGAAGCAAGGTCATTCTAACCTCTTAAGACAGCATAAATTAAGCTGGACTCATGACGCATGGTGTAGAAAATAGAGTAAAAAACAATTCAATGTAGGCTTAGAAGCTTACAGCAACAATGAAAATTAAAATAAGGTCAAAAAATACAAATAAATCTATATACACTATCACGGTTGGATGAATGACACATAAACAAATTTTGAATTTCAAATTCAAATTTTACACGTGTCATATATCTAACAGTGATAGTGTATATACTGACAGTGTATACAAGATTAATCCCAAAAAATACAGGTGAATGTATGAAGGGTCATAAATACAGTAAAGAGCAGAGTCGCAGCAATACATCAACTGTTACCTAGCATAATAAAGCAAGTAAACATGCACGTATGAAGTGTTCCCCTATTTTGAGGGAAGGGGTTGAGAACCACGCGAGGCTCTAAAGGTGACACACACCCCCCCAAATGCAATGCAAGCGCGAGATAACAAGTAAACATTCATTCAAACATACATTCATGAGTCGAGGGATTGGTTTGATTACGTACATAAGACAAAAGGTCCTAAAAATGAAAAATGCAAGCCTAATATCCAAGTGCAATGCATAAAAAGGGTAGAAAAGGAAACGAATGGCTAAGTCAAATGCTTGGACCCACTTAGGAAGTCCCCAGTGGAGTCGCCAACTGTCGCGCCCCACTTTTCGATTCGAGTGATGTGATGTGAGTGTGAAGTGTGGTGTTAACGTGTGCAAAATGACAAGTAAATAGGCCATGGGACTTTGGAAAGCGACGATTTGGCCAAATGAAAATTTTAAAAAGGGTTTTTTAATATGAAAAACGGAGTCGCCACTTGGTATAGATTTGGGGTGTACCAAGTCACCCAAAAAGTGTTTTTTAAAGACAAAGTAGCAAAACCCTTTTTAAAACGACTCCTAGTCCACGTAAGCCAAAGAAAAAGGTTCGGGGGTCACGTTTGACAAAGGGGAAGGCAAGGATAGAATCCAAGGCACCCCTTTGACCTAGCCAAGGCTAGTTGCGTGACTTAAACCAATTTTCCCTAATTTTTCTACCCATGGTATGTATCGCATATTGGATATGTCTATATGAATGCAAAAACCTAGACCTAGGGGGATTGGGGGAAATTTCTCTTCAAAGGTTGAGTGGTGCCAATCACATTAATTGTGAAGCCCAGTAATGATCATTTTGGAGAGGTCACACCTAAACCTAAATGACGTGAAAAATGAGTGGAATGCATGCCATATGAAAGTGTGAGTTTGTGTGAAGTGAGAAAAATGATAAAAGTAATAAGATAAGAGTGAAGGTGTGCAAATGTAGATGAAAGTACTCGTGTGCGAGTGAAGATAAAATGTTCGTGTGCAAGTGGAGATAAAAAGTGTTCGTGTGCAAGTGAAGGGATATGAAGGTGCATGTGTGCAAATGAGACAAAAGTGAAAGTGTAATGACAGAGTGGATTGAGAATGCATGAGCCTAGGGAATTCATGCATATTGGGTACGGGGAGACCTAAATCGTGACTTGATTTTCCCTTTGATTAGAAGGCGAAACTAGCGTGCTAAGGCTATCGAGTAGCCACACTCGCTCGTCTCCCTTATCGGAAGGGGACTCTCACGCAAATGTACCCTATAACTAGCATGGGATGCAAAACCTAAAGTGAGGGGAAAAGGGGGTCGAGGATCATGCCAAATGATAAAACTAAGAAAAATGCGTGATATGTAGTGAACAGGCAAATATGTACTAACGAGAGGAAATCCCTAAGGGTCTAGCGTTGGACTAGCCCATTCTATGAATTCCGACTAGCGTTGGACTAGTGGAAACGTACATTCATCCATCACATTCATTCAGGCTATGAAAAGCGAGTAGACATGCCAAACACTTATAAACACATAGCACATAACATTTAACATGCTCGACTAGATGCAAGGCCCTAACAAAGCAAATTAACACGTAGTAACTAAACATGCAAGACACATAAGACAATTAAAGCCCTAACTATTACATTTGCTAACTAGGCACATGACTTCGATAGGTCTTCATTGAATGCTCCTCCAAGCCCTATCTATTACATTAGGGAGACCCTACTACAATCTAAAAGGGGGAAAATGAATTAAATCCCTAACTATTACAAGCCAAGAGGTGTACACATACCCCATAAAGAATAACTTAAATAAAAAAACAAAAGTAAATAAAATAAATGAAAGGATTTAAAGAAAGGCAAGGAAAACAATGTAGACATGCATATTCACATAACACGTAGGAGCACGTAGGAAAAATAAAATCAAAGAGATAGAGGTTACCTCCCTTGAGTTGTGAAATGAAAAGAATATTAGCTTCAAAACAATAAAAGGGTCAAGGCAAGGAAAACAATGTAGACATGCATATTCACATAACACGTAGGAGCACGTAGGAAAAATAAAATCAAAGAGATAGAGGTTACCTCCCTTGAGTTGTGAAATGAAAAGAATATTAGCTTCAAAACAATAAAAGGGTCAAGGCACCAATTTATTTGGCAAATAATCACAAATGATAGAAATAAGCATGAATTTGAATCAATTGAATCATGTCAACAACCCACATTTAAAAAGTCCAAAGAAGAAGGGACTTAATTGCAAAAATGAACAAAGTTTTGGGGTCAAAATTAAAGAAAAATAAAGCTCAAGGACTCATTTGCAATTAAAGTAAGGACCCAATTGAATGAAATTGAAAATTGTTGGGGCCATAGTGAAAGCACTCGAAAGTCAGGGGACTGGAATGAAATTTCGTTATCAGGCTTCTTGGCAAAACAGGCCATTGGGCCCTTTTCTTTATTTGTTTGGGCTCGAACTTCCCTAGCCCAACCGAAAATTCAAAACAAAGGGGATGGGCCAGCCTATTACTTTTATCAAGTAAAACCCAACAAAAAGCATGGGCTTTAACTTCCGAGCCCAAACCGAAAGTTCTTTTGTTTGAAAACAAACTAGCCCACCTTCTATTACTCCAGCCCAACCGAATGATGCAAGGGCTTTGGTTATCCAATGCTATATCAAAATCCAAGCAAAAGCAATCAAAGCCCATTTGTTAGACCCAAACAAATAAGTCCAAGTCAATCCTAATTTTATTTAGTGAAACCCCACAAAATAAAACCCAACTAAAACCTGTTAACCTCTGATTATGCATCAAATCCAGAAATCATATAAAATAGGTAAACAGAGGATTAAGCTCAAGAGGGTGAAATTAGTTCAATTTTTCTAGATTTTGGGCCATATCAGAACAAGGGGAAACTTGGGGTTCAATCATAATAAAATAGGGACTTAATTGAAGAAATCATGAAGGTTTAGAGGGTCACAATTAGAAACTCTGGAACTCTGGGGCTAAATTACAAAATAAAAAGCAAATGGAATGACTGAAGTTGATTTTGGACAAACGATCGTCTTCCCTAACAGGTTAAACAATAGCCCGCCATTTCTGTCTTTCTTTCAAGCAGAGCAAGATAAAAAAAAGTTTCAACTTAGACATTCTCCGCAGACAACGAAATCCACGACTTCTTTCCCTAACATCAATTCGGGAAGCAAAGGGGAACGAAAAAAATGCCAAACGCCAATACATCACAATTTTCAAACGTCAGGAGATGAGCTCGCTGACTTAACTAGTTTTTTCATACGAAAAAAAATGCAGGCAAATTAGTTTCCAATTAGCATTTCCAATTGGGCATTTTATCAAACACTGAGTGGGCATAAAAAGTTTCAGC